GTAAAATACTATTGGCTGGAATGTAGTACAAATGTTGTGTAACCGAAAATTTTTGGTGGTGCTCTTGGGGTAGTTTTGAAATGTAAAAATGTAGGCGAATAGCAAATTTGATGAAACCCCTTATGTTTATTTGTGCAATAAAAAGTTTAAAACGTTACATGTATCTTAACTAAGATAAAAAAGAACATATACAAATTTTGTGCTATCACTTCAATCACCTCAATATACAAACGATTATCTAAAGGATTTAGGATCATATGCTATTCAAAGGCATCTTTTATAATTAGTTTTACGTAATACATTTTTGAATAAGGATCTTTAAAATATCATACTTGCCTGTTTCATCTAATAGCGCGCCTAAATTTTCACTATCAGTAACCCACGACGAACGCACAAACAAAGGCATCGATTCATTCTGACGCCTATAATAGATAGTACAAGCTTTAAGATAACGATTTCATTTATCTGCAGATAACCTAGTAGTTACCTTTGGTAGTGTTTTTTGATAGCATCGACTCGACTTAAATCCCTTTCATCAAAGATCACATGGGTTATGTTGGATGAATATAAATCATCAGTAACTAGAGCGTCTTGATAACGAAGACTCAATTCAATAAGGTTCAATCTACAAACAGTGAAAAGTCGGTAAAATCAAATATAATAATAATAAAGCCATACGAACTTAATAAATCGGTTCTCATAACATAGACTTTTAAAGTGACCCGGCAATCCGGCTTTTAATTTTATTTTCAAAAAATTATATATAAATACATATAAAATTTTTTGAAAATCAAATTAAAAATCAATATAACTAAAATTTTTTGAAGTTTTGTAAATTTTGACCCGGCCGGATTATGAGAACCGATTTATTAAGTTTGTATGGCCTAATAATAATAATAGAGAACTGTTAATGTCACCCTCTATATAACCCTAACTGGCCCAAAAATTCTACAGGCAGTACTTAGAGACAGTCAAATTTATGTTATTGATTTAGCAGTTAGGGTAAGTGTTTATAGTTTCCAGAAGGATTAAAGGTCAATTAGACTTATATAGGGGTGGCATTAACAGGTCTCTAATAATGATAATAAAATCCTCACCTATCACGACAGCCTTCTTGTAATGCCCATAAGTCATCTATCACTGGATTCTCTCTAAGAGGCGGATAATCAATGTATACTACACAACGTCTGAAGATAGCATTTGGTAAACTCGTATCAGCAAAATAACGACTCTCTATTTCGTCATTTAATCGACGACGTTTGGCATCATCGTGTATTCTTTCCTCGATAGGATTAAGTTCAAAGAGCTAAATAAAGTAAAATGAATTGATGTATCAAATAATAGCATTTTATGCAAACTTAGTAGACCAACCTCTTTCAAGGTATCTATATCGACTTTTTCCGTATAGCTGTCACCAAACTGATCCATTCTTGTGCTGAATTCATGTGATGTAGCATCGGTAATGAATAACATGAATCTGATAATTCGATAAAATCGATTGTAGCATTAGAGCACACCATTACTAAATATATGTAAGTTTACATGTTGCGAGAATATAGAAATTACTACTACCTTGGATTCAACGGTATGGCACGACGCGCACTAATAGATTCTTCAATCCATCGCGGGTGTACAATATCATGTTGCCCAGCTTCTGCAAGCTTACGGATTCGAAAATCTTATTTACCAAATAATTATACGAATTTAATAAAAGAAAAATTTTATTTAACAAGGTATATCGAGAAAAAAGAATACTTGATAGAGATTCGGCAATAATATATAAATTTGGAGACGCATCTGGATGTTGGAAAAATTCGCCACCGTGTTCTTTAATCATACGTTCCAGATCTGACTTTGTGAAACTTTTATATTTAGTCATCATAACATCTTGTTATAAAGGATATTATTAGCTATTGTCGAATTTAAGTAATTTAAGTAAATTAATTATAATTATGTTTATTACAAAACTTCATATTAATGAATATCTTGGATTTTTTCTCAATTGGGCCACTCTGATAAGTGTACGTTTCAAGGAGAGTAGATCGCCTAACCTATTATATATATAAAACTGTTATTACAAAATTATTTAGAAGATGAGGCTAAATGTAATATAGTACCCTTTGTGGCGCCCTGGTTTTCCTCTTCGCTGACCTTGAAATTGTTCTTTTAGATTATGTGTTGATAATGCAAATTAATTATATATGTGCAAAAAATAGAGAACCAAAATGCGATAAAAACGAAAAAAAAACTTACATTAAGCCGTCTTCTGTCACTTTCCTATATTGTAGACGTCCCGCTGTTTCTTTTTTGATATTCAACACCTCTTCAGGAGTATAAATATTACATTCAATGTTAAGAGTTTGAAAATTGTGTCATGAAATGAAAACGAGGAGTCTAAATATAGAATAACGTATATTGTGGGGAATGGTGCTGAAAATTGGAGTTAGGGTGATCAGCCAATGGGATTTTTAATTTTCACGATCATCCAATTTTCAGCATCTTCCCAACAATAATTCATATTTAGACTTTCAGATTTTCACTTGGAAATAGTCAATTATGGGACCTTGCACGCTAGCGGCAGAACTCCAATCCTTATCTGGACGAAGTTTTTCGAACCGAGGAAACCGAAGGGTGAAATTAGTCGCAAATTCATCTTTAATACAGAAGGTTGTAGAATTAAATCAGATACATATCTCGCAATTATAAACCTCAAAAACAATAATAACTGATGCTTCATAATTACTTGTAGCCACTATTTCAGTTGCTCTCACTTGAACTACAACTGACCTTAAAATCACGATAATAAGAAATTAACAATTTAAGTTCAAATGTACAATTCATGAATATTAATCATACTTTTCTGGCGGAATTATCAGATGCGGTTTATCATGACCGATTATAAGCCAGTCTGGTATTCGGTTAGAGTCAAAAGGCTCCCAACCTTCTAATGATCTGTATGACGTTAATAAATATATATCATGAAGAAAAACAGCAAGTGATAAAAAAGCATAGAAAGCTAAAATATTAAATTTAGTTACTTTAATTCTTCACTTTCTTTCATTGTGAACCCAGTACCAAAACGACAGAATGATAATATTCTTGATTTGTAAAAGATTATTTGAATTTTGTCAACATTCAATTCATTTTTTTTTTTATAATAACTTTGGCAACACAAACCTAATTTCATTGTTAATTGTTTTAGCATCTCTTAATCCGCACATAAAACTTCCAAACATACTGCCTCTTTTTCCTTGGCCGTAATAGGCACCTTAAAAAATCACTTAATATAAATTATTTTTGATATAAAAAACTGTTTCATAACGCTTACCAATAACAATCAAATCAAGGTCATCTCCAAGTGTATCCAAATAATCAGGCTTGACCTTAATCCAATCATCGATACGTTCATTGAGAATATAAGTACTAGAAGGTTTTTTGATTATAATCCCTTCTTTTCTATATATTCAGAAAAATTAATAATTACAGTTCTAAAGATATTTATTAAAAAATAATATATGCACCTTTGCATAACAGCATCATCCATAGCTTCAGTCAAATCTTTCATAGATTTTCCTACCTTGTGAGGAATAACCTGGATATAACCTGGTTTATCTGTAATCAAAGTTTTTAGAAATTCGCGCCGCTTTTCCAAAGTGTAATTAGCAAGAGACTTTCCATTAAGTAGTACAATATCAAAAACCAAAACTATCAAACAAAATGATGTTAAGAATAATAGTTAATGAACAGTATAACAATTAATAATGATTATAAGGATACAACATGGACGGCTTTTATGTTCATTATCGGATTTGTCTTAAATGATCAAGAATGTAAAGAATATTTTTAAGAAGTTATTGAACATTAGCGAACATGACAAAATTGTTTTCACGAACCATTGCAGACAGTTCTCAAGGACCCAAAAGGTTGATAGACGTCTAAAGCGGGATCATATGTAATCATCTCTCCATCAAGAATAATCCTAATAGATAATGAACAATATTCATACGCATCAACCAAACTTTTAATTATGCATAAATATATAATTATATAATGCCATTATAAATAATTACTCTTGGACACCTTCACGAAAACAGGAATGTATATGTTTTGTTAGGGCACCTTCAAATTTATTAGTGCCATACATATACGTATATTGCGTAGCTTTCCTGGAATTTTAGAAATAGATTAAAAATATGAATGAGTTAATGAACTAAAAAAAGAATTTAAAATCTTTGCCTTGAATAATATTCATATCTTCCATTTTTCATGTGCAGTTGAATTCTTTCACCATCAATTTTTTCTTCAATCCAAAAATTACCACCCATTGTTTTGAGAATATTTTGAATAGCAATAGATTTAGAAAGCATTGGTTTGAATGGACGAAAGATGGAGATTTCCTAATCAAATATATAAAGTAAAAATGTTGCAAGATATATTAAGTGAAACAGAAAATAAATTAAGGAAAAATATAGAATCTCTTACAGAATCAGTGAATCTCTTAAAAGGATCTTGTAATTCAGTGCAAACTTTTCTCAGATCGCTGCATACATTAAAAAGAGACGAAGCATCAGGATGAAAGACGGAAAATACAGTCCTTTCAGTCATGCCAATTTTAAGTTCTAAAGATAATAGCGTATATATAAGATTAAAATGAATAAACTTTTGGTAAAGAAAATAGTATATTTTTAATTGCCAAGGACCTTTCAAAATGATACGAATAATCCATTTTTGTTCTATGGCAGTACATTTAATAAAGAAATGACGAATTATGATACGCGATTCACCTCTAAATTAAAAAATATAATTATTGATCACATTCACCATACGTACAATAACTAAGTAAATTCAACTAACTGGCCACTAGAGGCATTCAACGTATCAAGTTGCTGATTTACGTCATCAATTGACATTGATCCTTGACTAACGACAGTGGATCGAGGTGCAATAACTTCAAAAGCAACAGAAGCAAAATCACCCGCAATTTTCTACGTAATACGATAAAATTCATCATCGATTAAGGTATCACGTATATATAATAATTATTTGTAAAAAGAAACGTACATTTTTGTTGCTTCCGGGCATTTTCCAATGCAATAACCGTTCAGCATTGGGAGAATCCTTCGACAAACCCAAGACGTTTATATAGGTTTTAGCAAGAACATGTTCTTTCATGCGATATGTTCTTTCAGTATCCAGCTAAATAAAATATTTTACTAATGCTAAACATACTCCAGTAAAGATAATGAACAAAATCTAAAAATATTTGTAAATGTTACGTGTGGAATAAGTAAACGCATAAGAGGGTAGAAATCATTTCCGCATTGAACCCGCCAGTTCTATAGAAGCATATGAAAAGGTTAAAAGTATCTAACAGCCGAATTTTAATATTCAAAGATACCCACATTGAAGAATTTTTGTAGTTTTTTCTTTTTTGCATCACCTTTTGTTCTTGAAACAATTTCTAAAAACCGACAGAATTCGCTAAACGAAGAAGAATCAAATGTAGGTTGCTGACTTGAACTGCTTTGACTTCCTATATCAAATTGCGAAGCCATATCAAATATTTCACTATTCTAGATCTTAAAAATTTTCCGATCCCATTATTTCCAGCCAATTAGATCGAAAGATCGGGTAACGTAACACGAACACGAAGATTCGGCTGGCTGTTTTATTATGTCAAGGAAATCCCGGGCTGAAGATCGCCGAAGATCGCTTCCGACCCTATCCGGATCCAATAAAATCACAGGATCTTGTGTAACAAAACAAACGTGAAAAACATAAGAAATTGT